GACTTATTACACCCAAGCCAGACTTATCAAGGAAAAAGAGAGTATACACAAAAAATTATGTTTATATATACATGTATATATATATAAGTATATATATATATACACACACATATACATATCAAGCTACATTTTTCATACAAACATATGAATAAGAACTTAGAATATATGCAGGTATTGACACTACTGGTCACTTTACAAACATTTGACTCAAATGAAAATCATATGTCCAAGACTCCTTGACATCGTAGATGTCCAGATAAAAAAACACTTTCAAATATAGATTAAGTAGAAACTTTTAGATTTGCTTTCACAAACCATTCTTACAAGGGTCTCAGTGCAGCTCACATTCCCTTCCCTCCTTGCAGGTGCCAGGTCTAGGGCTGCCGTCCACTGATTGCAAACGTTTGGAGCTACAGTGGATGGGTGCAGGGATGGATGCAGCTGCCAGTCTTGCTTTGATTCCTGAGAATTAAAGCCATGTGATTAGAATGCTGAGGAGAAACCTGTGGGAGCCCAGGTGCATGGTCATGTTTGATGGTGGAATCTCACCCATTTTTTTACTGTGAAAGAAAATCTCTTATTTTGCTTAAGTCACTTTTTTATGGGTGTATTTTGATTCAAAGTTATGGTTTCCAACTAATACATTAGTCAAGCAACTTCCAACAGAGGAGAAGAAATGAGGATTGATGGTGGGGGAAATGTATAGGCAGTTCCTGATTATAATAGGGTATCCATTTCTATTATCTGAAGTTGTAAAAGGTGAAGGTAACAGATAAAGCAATTGAAGTTAAAATCTGTTTCATGAAGCACAATGGAAACCATGTAAAGAGTTAAAAAAGATTACAAATCTTCTAATGTATGAGTAAAGAAATTAAAAAATGGAGCAATGGTTAACATAGATGCTCATTTTTGGTAAAATTGCATTATTTCCAGAATCTCTTGCCTGGCTGCAGTGTATCTCCAAATAAATAGGTGTTTCCAAGGGGTGGAGAGAAGTAGAACATCTCCATATCAATAGGTAATGACAATGGGGAGTGAGGGAATATCTGGACCCAAGAAGGTGGGTAGGGCCCCTCTTTACAGGCTGGTCATGAGAGACTCTGGCAAGTAGAAATAGATGACTACTTGGAAGCAATAAATTGGTTTCTCCCACTTTATTTCTCCTTTTGATATATTTTGGTTTCAAAGGTATTTTGTCCCAGGCTGGAAAAACATTCCCCCTCCCCAAGAGTTACATCTAGAAAGTTATAACAAACAAAAGTTTTACTCTTCTATAATGTAGCTTTCTTTCACTTACATTAAATTGAATAAGTATAAAATAAGTATGTGCCTATTATTATTATAAGTGCCAACTATTAGGGTAGTAGAAATTTATACATATGAAGAAGTCAATAATATTCTCTCTAGGGAAGTATTTTTTTCCTAAGAGAAAATTGGGTACAATAAACTATAAATAAGTTGCAATATTCACACTGTGTATGTGAGATTTTAATTTTCATTCTTCTTTTTCTTTGGGCAGATTATTTTACTTTCTCTCTGGTAATTGTTTTTATTGGGAATGAGCTCTATGAAAAGACAATGAAATGAAAGTGTGAAGTAAATTCTGCACTTTTTCAGCTAAAATCAATAATTTGATATTATTCAAGATGTTAGTATGGTATGAACATGTATACCTTGGATAAATCAGTTAAATTGAATACTAAAATGGTAAAATGAAGGGTGTGCAATTTCTACTATTATAGAATGTGTGTGTAAACAAATGCTTACAATTAATTTCAGCCCTAGAAATTGTGCATCCACATGCAAGTGTGCATCCAGATCCTCTGGCTGTGAAGTTCTGCTGCATCAAATGGAATTCTCTGACCCAAAGACCTGAATGTGTGTGTCCCCTAAAATATCGGTCCATGAGACCTAACAGGCAGTAAGGATTCAACAAAGCAGGAACAGCTACAAAATTTAGGACATTTTTGACTGCTTTAAATAATTACTTATCAATACACTGGGTTAAAGAGGAAGGATATGCATTTCTTCTTTATCAATACAGCCTTAATAAGAAACATCTTCCTATTCATAATTTTAAATATGATTTTCCTTGATATTGGCATACTAAAGAAATTATAACATTTTAATTATCTTAAAAAATTCAAGATATATCAGAGATTATTTTTGCTTGATTAACTAACTTACTTTTTCTCCATATAGTGGATCCAAGAAGTATACATTTGATAAAGAACAGAGCTTCATATGAGGTTCATTTCTTTTTAAATGCAGGCAAAGGGGTAAGTTATATAGTTAAAGCTGTTTTCTGGATAGTATCCATGAGAGAGCTAATCTTGGCCAATTTAATATGTAATGTCTCAAGATACTTTTTTCTCTTGTAATAGTACCTTTTCAAATTTTAAAAAGTTACTACAACATTTTCTTAAACTGAATATATAAAGATGTAGAAAACTGAAATTGTACTTCCATAGAGCCTTGATCTTTCTGATTTTGTGAACTGACAGGGTAAATGGTTTTTGTTTCAACATATTTTAATCCACTCACTAAACACCCACTGATTGAATAATGATATTCAATCACATTTTTGTTAGTGTAATCATTTTCTTCCCTAATTTTCATGAATTTAATATCATGAAAATACTTCTATTTTTCTCTGAAGCATGGATCTGTGGCTATGTGTGGAAAGAATAAAATCATCTCACAATAACATCAGAGATTCCTATCTAAATAGTACATGGAGAAGAGTGATGGGAGGGTGGTCAGAATGGGTGAAGGGGATAAAGAGGTACAGGCTTCCCATTATGAAATAAATTAGCCATTGGGATGAAAGTACAGTATATGGAATATAATAAATAATATTGTGGAATACTTGTATATTATCTGCAGATAGTATCTTCATTTGTCATTGTGAGCATTTAGCAATGTATATCATTGTCAAATCACTGAAAACTATATAAAGTGTACATTAATTATATTTCAACTAAATAAAGTTAAGGAGTAGTTGCCCACAGGTAACTATTAAAGAGTTTATTCATTTTATGATATATGTAAGAAATAATTAAATTAAAGATTGACATCCATAATGATTCCTGCAGTTTTCAAAAAAACAGACAGATAGGCTGGCAGAAAGAATGGAAGTGAGAAGGAAAGATAGAAGGAATAGGAAGGAAAAGAAAAAGACCAAGAAAAGAAGGAAGAATATAATGAAATACTACATTAGAAAATATGATAGATAATAATTTCATTTCATTTGTATAAATAAATCATTACAGGTAGTTTGTATTATTTATACTATACATTTAATCCCATCAAATATATCATTAATAATTTCCAGTAGATGAAATATGTATTGAGGTTTAATCATTTAACATATTTATATTTTCTATTCATCTTTCTCTTTTTCTACCATACACATGTGATATTTAAAAACATAGTTTTCATAGTGACCAAAAGATTATATAAATGATACTTAGATCTTCACTTAAGGTTATTGTAAATACAAATGCAATTCAATAATTAAATGTGTTACTATGGTCAAAAGCTTCAGTCATACATAATTTTATACACTTCCTTGAATAATTACACCTATGATGACATGTTTGTTTTAAAGATAATGGGATTTGAATATCATGCCAATATATTATTTTCTATTTTCACTCACATTTAGACACTATTGAACTAGTTTTATTTTCCTTTCTTATTTTAGTTTTTTAATGAAATATTGATGAGATACAATGTTATGTTGGTTTCACACCAAAGTGACCCAAAAATTGTAGCCATGACCAAATGTTCAACACGGTAAGTGTAATGACTGTGTCATCACGAAATGTGGTTCTATTGCCTATGCTGTACTTCCATCTTTCTGATTAAATTATTTTAATATGGCAAGTTTGTACCTCTTCTTCAAGACATCTTTGCATCTAGATCACCAATGGTAACAAGTATCTGTTCTCTATGTTCATGTGTCTATTTCTGTTATATTTGTTTGCTTATGTCTTATAGGATAAAATATTTTTTTAAATATACTAATTCTGGAAAACACCTGTTAAAATTCATACTTCAATGATAATGATTCTAAGTTATAAAACCATTTCTATATTTATTCTCACCAACACATTTATATAAACAGGAGACACACCATTCATTCTTTTCCATGTAAAAACTCTTGATAATTATTCTTTTTATATCTGCTCATTGCTACCAGTTATTAAAATATATACCAGGTATTTATTTATTATTGTTTGTGGGTTTTTTTTGTTGTTGTTGTGCATGAAAGTGAAATCATAGGGGAGGAGGATGGGTGAAAAAAGGTGAAGAGGATAAAAAGGTACAAACTACAAATGATAAAATGAATTAGTCATAAGAGCGGAAGTACAACATAGAGAAAATAACCAATAATATGGCATAATTGTGGTAACAGGGGTACATTTACTATGGTGAGCAACAATTAATGTAATTATTGAGTCATTCTGTTACGCAGCTAAAACCAATATAACATTGCATAAGAAGTATACTACAAAAATGTTTTACCTTGAAATTATATACCTTAAAAATACATAGCTTCTACCATTGATGTGGTTAAACTTGAGATAGTGCATAAAATTCTACACAGTGAGATACTACAAAACAAAATAAGGTAAATGACCAACTAGGTGTGGAGAACACAAAGGTAGCTCTCACTGAATTGTGGAATCCCAAACACCGGTGAGTACACAATAAATTTACTAAGAAGTCGCATTTTTAAACATCTCCTTAGGGATGCAGAGGGCTTCCTTAGTGCCAGGATCTGAGGATGAGTATTACAAGCAACAACATGAAATCAGGAGATGTTTTAACAACAGTTCTAATAATCGTAATTTTTAATTAATACATGAATAACATATTCATCACCAACCACACACAATATTTTTCAAGTTTCTAATAAATAGTTTCCTTGTTTTTTCTCTAACCTATACTTGTTGACTTCCTTCCCTCCAGTGAGATCCCCATGGAGAAAAGAGATGGACAGCTACAATCTCACCACCATGACTCACTTTATCCCCACGGGTGAGCTCCCCAAGGTGCACTATCCTATCTTTGTAGTCTTTGCCATCACATACCAGATCACCTTGGTGGGAAACGGGACCATTCTCTTGGCCATTGGGATGAAGAAAACACTACACACACCATTGTATTACTTTCTGGCCAATCTGTCCCTCTTAGACATATTCTTCCCATCAGCTACTGTCCCCAAGATGCTGGACAACCTCCTGACTGGGAATTACAGCATTTCCTTCCTGGGCTGTGCTTTGCAGCTTTATTTCCTAGTGGCCCTGACGGGGACTGAGGTCTTCCTTCTTGTCATGGCTTATGAACGGTATGTGGCCATCTGTTTCCCCCTCCATTACACCCTCATCATGACCAAGGCACGTTGTGCCCAGCTGACATCTGGGACCTGGGCAGCAGGGTTTCTCCATTTCCTCCTCCATATGGTGGCCACCTTCTGCCTGTCTTCCTGCAAATCCAATCGGGTTAACCAGTTCTACTGTGACATCCCCCCAGTAGTGGCCCTCTCCTGCTCATCCACCTACCTAGCAGAAATGTTTGTTTCAGTGGTAGGAGATGTCTTGGGAATTGGTGCCTTCCTAACCACCTTCATTTCTTATGTATGCATCATATCCACCATCCTAAAGATCCATTCAGTGGAAGGGAAGCAGAAAGCCTTCTCCACATGTGCCTCCCACCTCCTGGTGGTCTGTTTGTTCTATGGCACAGCCATCTTCACCTACATTCGGCCCTCTTCAAGTCACCACTCCCCAGACAAGGACAGACTCATCGCCATGCTCTACAGGGTTATCACCCCAATGCTAAACCCTGTGATCTACAGCTTGAGGAGCACAGAGGTAGAAGGGGTACTTGGCAGGGTCTTATGTCATAGAACATATTTACAGTGAGTGTAAGAGTAAAACAGAAAAAGTTCGTACTCATTTTAGAATACATTGATGAGAAGAATTTATAGGAAATAATTTTTAATTGACAGAATATATACTTATATATACATTGTGATTTATAAACATGTGAACATACAGGTAAGTGTAATCATACCTATATGTATACTTATATGTCTATTTCTCTCAAAGGGAAATTTAAAATGTATTGTCTCCAAATAGACATTTCCATAAGCAGCAGAGAACATTAATCACACTATTAGGAGGTATAACGCGAGCCCATCTTCTAAGTTAACTTGTGTTTTTGTTCACATTCATAGATATCCATACCTGTATGTATACCTATATCATTTTTACTTTTATCTAAATCTCTCTCCTTTGATACTTGTTTTATTTCATTTTTTTTGAAAATGTAAATAGCCTTTTACAATTGACTGCCTATACCAATAAATCTTTATAAAATCATTTCACGCAACCTGTCTTTCAGTTTTTGCTTCCATTTAATATATTTCTCTGCTTTTCTTCATTTTTGGTAACCTTGTCCTTTCTCAGATCTATCTATTTCTCTAAAAAGAGTACTTACTTTTTCAATCTGTGATTTAGTAATCTAATTCAGTTCACTATATTATTGCCTTTTTAACTTTATCATTTTCAAAACTGAAAACACCATATTTTAAAACACGCACACATTCTTATCAGCCGCCATGGATTTTTGGTGTCAATTTTCCCCAACCACACAGACTAAGTGTGATCAGAGAGCTGTTGGTTCTGAGGGGATGGTGCGTCTTGCACACTCCATTTTGCATTGTTTACTTTTCCTGTCACCTCTAGAAATAGGAAGATTTTCTCTGTTCACTAATATTTATGTGATTCTTAGTTTTATGTACAATCATGGATCATTTTTTTTATAGTTTCCCTGAACCTGGGGATCCCAATTACCTTCCAGTTTTCATCCCCAGTCAGATGGTCGCTCTCTGCATTTCTAATTCTTTTTCCACTCCTTGGCATTCATTGTCTTCTCTCCTCCGCTTTTCTGCATTCTGTCCTTCCTTTATCACTACTGAATTGTTCTTACATTATTCAAAGACATCCTATTAACACCTTCTCTGGACTATAATTAATTTTCCAAGTCATTTTCAAATCTTTATGAAATGATTGCCTCAGCATACGTACTTATACCACATCAACTAGGCTGTGTGCATATCTTCTGCCATACTTCGGAAACAATTTTATTTTCCAAAGCTCAGCATTGCCCTGAGATACATCATCTGCAGCATTCCAGGGCTCTTCATAGTAGTGGCAGGTCTAATGCCTGTCATTTTATTTTATTTTTTGGTATCATTAATCTACAATTAAATGAGGAATATTATGTTTACTTGGCTCCCCCCTCCACCAAGTCTCCCCACAAATGTCGTAACAGTCACTGTCCATCAGTGTAGTAAGATGCTATAAAGACACTTCTTGTCTTCTCTGTGTTGCACTGCCCTGCCTGTGCCTCCCCCCACATTTTACATGCTAATTGTAATGCCCTCTTTATGCCCCAACCTTATCCCTCCCTTCCCACCCCTCCTGCCCAGTCCCTTTCCCTTTGGTAACTGTTAGTCCATTCTTGGGTTCTGTGATTCTGCTGCTGTTTTTATTTTTCAATTAATTTTTTTATTTTGGTGTCATTAATCTACAATTACATGGAGAAAACTATGTTTTCTAGGCTCCCCCCTTCACCAAGTCCCCCCCACATACCCCTTCACAGTCACTGCCCATCAGCATAGTAAGATGCTGTAAAATCACTACTAGTCTTCTCTGTGTTGCACAGCCCTCCCCATGCCCCCCCACACACTATACATGCTAATCATAAGGCCCCCTTTCTTTTTCCCTGCCCTTATCCATCCCATCCCACCCATCCTCCCCAGTCCCTTACCCTTTGGTAACCGTTAGCCCATTCTTGGGTTCTGTGAGTCTGCTGCTGTTTTGTTCCTTCAGTTTTTCTTTGTTCTTATACTCCACATATGAGTGAAATCATTTGGTACTTGTCTTTCTCCACCTGGCTTATTTCACTGAGAATAATACCCTCTAGCTCCATCGATGTTGTTGCAAATGGTAGGATTTGTTTTCTTCTTATGGCTGAACAATATTCCATTGTGTATATGTACAACATCTTCTTTATCCATTCATCTATTGAAGGACACTTC